TTATTGTTGAGAGTATTACAGATGTCCCCATTTCCCCCCATTACCCCTTTCCACCCAGCTCCTGCCCCACCCCAGGCCTTCACTGCACTGTTGTCTGTGTCCATGGATAATACATAAAAGCATATTAAATCTTCGGTTAATTTCGCCTTCCTTTTCAACAATTCTGTCTTTAAGTAATTTCTCTCTTCTGGCATTTTACTATAAGCAGTCAGGAGGAGCCAAGCCACACCTTCAATACTTTGCTTAGAAATTTCTTTAGCTAAACATTTTTCATCACTTGCAGATCTGCCCACAAAACACTAGAACACAAACACAATTCAGCCACGTTCTTTGCCACTATTTAACAATGATTGCCTTTCCTCCAGTTTCCAATATGCACTCCTCATTTCTGTCTGAGACTTCATCAGAATGCCCTTTACTGCTCATATTTCTACCTACTTTCTGTTCTAGATTACTCATATGTTCTCTAAGACAATGGAGGCTTCCTCCTCGACTCTCCTCGTCTGAGCTCTCACCAGAGTCACCTTCAAAGGCCCATTGATGGGAATGTAGGCATTTTCTAGTATGCATCTAAAAATTCTTCTGGCCTTTTCACATTACCCAGTTCCAAAGCCACTTCCACAAACATTTTTAGCTATTTGTTACAGCAGCACCTCACTCCTGGTACCAGTTTTTGTCTTAGGCCACTTGGACTGCTATAACAAAAACACGATAGAATGATTGCTTAAACAAACATTTATTTCTCACAGACCTAGAGGCTGGGAAGTCCAAGATCAAGCTGCTGGACAATTCAGTGTCTGGAGAGAGCCTGCTTCTTGGTTCAGAGATGGGCACCTTCACGAGGTGGAAAGAGGGGAGGAGACTACCCTTGGGGCCTCTTTTATAAAAACTTTAATCCCATTCCCGAGAACTCCACCCTTCTGACCTAATCACCTCCCCAAACCCCACCTCCTAATACCATCACATTGAAGTTTAGGATTTCAACATATGAATGGAGATGTATGTCAAATATTCAATGCATAGCAGTCTCCTTGTCAGCACTTGGTATTGCCAGTCTTTTTAACTTTAGACATTCTAGTAGGTGTGGTGATTTAAATTTCCATCTGGTATCATTTTATTGTTGCCTGAATAACTTTCTTTTTGTGCCAATCTGCTATAAAGGATTATCATTCCTGCCTTGGCCAGTTTGGCTCAGCGGTTAGAGTGTCAGCCTGCAGACCAGAGAGTCCTGGGTTCAGTTCCCACTAGGGGCACATACCTTGGTTGCAGTTTGTCCCCAGCCCTGGTTGGGGTCGTGTGGGTGGCAACCATTTGGTGTCTCTCTCTCGCATCGATGTTTCTCTCTCTCTCTTCCTCCTCTCTCCCTCTACCTCTATCTGAAGATAAATGCAAAAATGTCCTCAGGTGAGGATAAAAAATAATAAAAAAAAGAATTGTAATTCCTGTTTGTCTAAAATGTCTTTATTTTGTCTGTAGTTTTAAAAGATGGGGAAAGCAACCTGGGGTCTTAGTTCCTCTTCCCTGCTGAGCAGAGTTCCTATGCATCTCTGCCATGTGGGAGACAGAGATGAGTTAAGAGGTTTGTACAAAGCCTTGGCTCCTCTCCCACTCCACAGGGGGCCCTTTGAGGCCTCTGGAGAATCTGGTTGGGAAACCCTGATTCCTTTGATCTCTCTTTGTCCTAGGAAGTGTAAGGTGGGAGAGCTATGTGGATTTGCAAGTGGGAGAAAGTGTGAGAAAATAAAAGTGTGGAGTTGTGGGTGGTAGGGTGTGTTAATGAAACAATGGTGACCTGTATTGTTTGTACTCTCTCAATTTTTCTGGGACTGTGGATAATGCAATTATTATCTATCCCCTTTACTGTTTGGAAGTTCTCTTTGAAGTCTAACTGTAAATCAGACTGTTATTGTCTAGAGATGGGGTATTAATGTAATTTCACAACTATAAAATAACATGCAGAGAGTTGGAAAGCAGTTATTGGGTCCATCCCACCAGAAACCTCACTCACTTGAACATCTGAACTACCAAAGTGAAAACAGAGAGGGGCAGATGAGAACATGGCAGCAGGTCACCTAAAATCCCCATCATAGACACTTCTCTTGGTGCTGGCCTGGGTTCCCCATTACCTGGGGGCAGGAATAGAGGTGTTGGAGCTGCAGAGAGAAGCTGAGATTTAGCAAGGCAGCACAGAGAGTCCAACCTTATCAACCCCTGGCCTCTGATAAGGGCGACAGGTAGCCTGTGTGGGCTGATTAGATTGGTCTGCCCTCCCATCTTGGCTCTGGGAGAAGGTGCAGGGCAATGGCTCACACCCTAGTTAGTAACTACTCTGAAGTACGAAGTACGGTTAAATTTTCATCAGGCTAATATGAGTGGCCAGCTTCTAGCTAGATCTCCACCCCCTGGGGCTGCCAGGGCGTGTGGGGCCATGGTCACCAGGGAACTGCCCCTGGGCGTTGTGAGGTGCAGGCCAGCGTTCGGACTTAACTGCTGCCTGCGCAGACACTGCTACACCAGGGCCAATCTGTACCTGGAGCGCCCTCTGGCTGTGATGGGTGCTGACCTGGGCGTCCCTGTATGTCTCCCGTCTTTGGGTAGCCCCAGGCTCTGCTAGTCGTAATGTGCTGGACAGCGCCAGCCTGGCAGCAGAGCTCTGAAAACCGCTGCGCCTGGATGATTATTACCTCGCCTCTCTCCATGATCTGCACAGACCAGTCTGACGCTAAGAAAGCGCAAGACTGCTAGAGTGCACATGGTGGGCGTCCAGGGAGAGCCAGGGTGCCACCATGGGCAACCATATCAGCGTGGACATCAGTGTGGACATTGCTGGGCCTAGAGTCATACCTGTCATTCTTCCCTGAACTAGCCACTGCCCAGAGGAGTTGGACTGGTCTTCCGTGGCTTCTCGGTGTTCCTCACTTCAACACCGCCACAGCTGAGCTGCCTTCTATCCTGGACACTGGAGAGGAGGGTGAGGCTATCCATGGAAGCTGGGGGTCTCCCAGGGTAGAGGGAGGGCTGTTTTTTTGTTTGTTTGTTTTGTTTGTTTGTTTGTTTGTTTTACTGCGTAGAATGTGCATGGGAGGAACTCCAGTAATTGTTTTTGTTTTTGCTGGAGTCCCCATCTCTGGACCCGAAGTTAGGGGAGTCAGTGTGGTTTGGATGTGGGTGGGGTGGGTTCAGCTCCTGAAAACTGTGGAGACTCTCCGTGGCCTCAGCCTCTAAACACCACTTACAAGAAAAGTCTGGAAAAGGCAGTGGTGATGTCAATAGCGGGCGAATTTCTAATGGTGCAGATGGGGCATGGAATTCAAGTGTGGCCTCACAAGTCACTCACCTTCCCTGGCCTTTCCAGGTAAGCACAAACCTCCTGGGATTCTTCCGATTCAAACCAGTGGCGGTCACAGCTGCTGAGGAATACAAGGAATGCTGCAGGTTATTGGGTCGCTGGGTATGCATCTTGGATTTTTCCTGGGTACCTGGTTGGAGGTTGGAGGCTGGAGGTAGGGGCAGCTATGTGCTGGGGCAAGTAGGCAGCCAGAGGTGATCAGCCACTTCAACACTGAGGACTGCACAGTGCCCTCTGGACAGTCTGGCAAAGCCAAAGGAGAAATGGTTAGTCACTTATGCCCAACCCCAGCACAGCCCACAGAAGCTTGGGCAGAACTGCGGGGCTTGGGGCCTGGGGCCTGGGAACTGTGCTCATGGGGTCTGGACCAGACTTCCAGAAGAGTTACAGAAACTTTCTAGATGTCATGTAAATGACTCTGTATAGCGCTTCAGATTACACATCTTTTTATACCTGGTCTCCTTTCTGCTTCACAACAGCTAGGGAACTTATCCCCTCTAATAGATGAGGGAGCTCAGAGGGGGGTAACCAATCTCTCCAAGGCACACTGCCACAGAGGGGTTTGAGCTAATGTTTGAATGGTTGCCTTGGTTATAGCAGATTCATTCCCACAGATGATGACAATCATGGAAGGGCATTGTTTTAGGATCCTGAGGGCTGATGGGCCAACAAAAGGGGGAGGCACTTGGTGTGAGGGTAACATATGGCCCTAAACAGGGCACTGCTCATGTGAGGTGGGACCCCTGGTCGGGCTGGGCAATGTTCAGGGCTTCGAGGAGGAGGAGGGCACCCGATAAAATGTGACTTTGTCTATTCCTAAAGCCTGAGGTGGCATTCAAGGCCTATCAGAGTTCATCTATCTGGACTCAGTAGGCCAGGACCTCCACCTTTGGGCCAGAAGTCACTCTCCTCTTCTCTGACGAAGCTGTCCCACTCAGGGCTGGATCTAGGGTGAGGTGAGTGAGGAACCAAGGGTGCAAAAATTAACGAGGCACTCACTCTCAGATCATGCAAATGCAGGCTAGTGTTGATATGACCCTAAAACTGAGTCTTTTCTCTCCCATCTCTCCCTCCTTCCTCCACTCTAAGCCCTACACTCCCAGAGGCTAGAGACAGCCTGTGATAACCCCCAGGTGTCCTCAGCCCAGCATCTGGTCAGTGCAGGGCTCACAGTTGGATTCAATAAACATTTGTCAGTGGCCAAGCCTCATTTTTCTTTCCTGTGAAAAAAAAAGTGGCCTGGGCTGGGAATGGCAAGTGTGTGTCACGTGATCTAACCGAGGTTTGGCCAGTGGCTGGACTTCGCATTTACTAGAGGAAAGTAAATGACCTATGGGGAGAACCCAACGCCCGTGCAAGATTCAGAAAGTCCAAGCCAGAAAATAAAGAACATTTACATACGAGGTAACAGAACTGGAGCGTGAAGATGACTTGCTCCAAGTCACACGGCCGCGTAGGGACAGGGACACGGCTACATGACAAGATCTTCGAGGAGGCAAAACCTCTGATGCAGTTATTGAATGCACAGCGAGTGTATCGACATTCTACTTATTAGGCCTGGAACAATGAACAGGATTAATCCATTGCTTTTGCCTGCCAGTAAGAGCTGCGCGCTGATTGGTCCTGGTTGAGGCGACGGCAGAAAAGGCGTGCACGTGGGACGCGCCGCCTGAGGAGCGCGCGGGAGGGGGAAAGTCCGCCGAGAAACCATGGCGTCGCTCAGTGGTCGCACCGCGGTCTGCGTGATCTGCCTGGAGAAGCCCAAGTACCGCTGCCCCGCCTGCCGCGTGCCCTAGTAAGCGCCCGCAGCCGAGGGGGAGGGGAGCGCGCGTTTCAGGCTGGGCTGGGGGGTGAGGGGGCGGGAGACCAGCGGGGCTGCGGGAGGGCCCGCTCGGCCTCCGGCTGAAGTGCCCCGTGGGTTCTGTTGTTGCAGCTGCTCGGTGACCTGTTTCCGGAAGCACAAAGGTGAGGCCCCCGCGGGGCAGCTCCCGGGTCCCGCCAGGTGCCACGCCCCGCCGCCGTCTCCGGGACGGGGGCCCCTCGGGCCGCGCTCCCTCCCGGCCTTGTCGCGCCGGATTCCGTCGGATCTCCCGGGGGCACCTCAGCCTGTGAATGCCGCGCCGGATTTTGAACAATCAAAACCTATTTTCTGTTCTGTCTTTTCTTCGACTACTAGCCTTTTCCCCGTCTTTGAGTTCGTCGGGCCCTGGCCAGTTTGGCTCAGAGGTAGAGCGTCGGCCCGCGGACCAGATGAGTCACGGGTTCGAGGGCACGTACCTAGCGGCTCGTCCCCGGCCCTGGTCGGGGTTGTGGGGAGGCATCCAGCCCATGTGTCCCTCTCACTTCGATGTTTCTCTCTCTCCCTTTCTCTCCCGCCCACTCTATCTGAAAATAAATAGGAAAATATCCTTGGGTGAGGATTTCTTTTAAAAATCGGAAAAATCAACCCAGCTATTTCAACTTAGTATTCCCACGCAGCCCCTCATGATTTGGCACAAGCTGCGCTGGTCAAGGTTAAGGAGAATATTTTTTCTTTTAAATAATGATTTGTTGGAAACAATGAGGTAGTTCTGTTTAGCATCAGGAGCTATATTCATTCTCTCAGCTGTCAATGTTGTCAAGTCTACATTTTAACTCTCCAGTCTGGCTCCCCTTAGCCTTCAGGGACCCTTTCCCAGACCTCATGATTGGTTGACTCTTTTTTTTTTTCTAATTCTCACCCGAGGATATTTTTCTGTTTATCTTCAGGTAGAGAGAGGGAGAGAAAGGGAGCGGGAGAGAAACATCGTTGTGGGAGGGACACATTGACTGGTTGCCTCCTGCATGACCTGACCAGGGCCGGGGATGAACTGCAACCTAGGTACATGCCCTTGGCTGGAATTGAACCCAGGACTCATTGGTCCGTGGGCCACACTCTACCGCTGAGCCAAATTGGCCAGGGCTAAATCAGGAGACCTTTTACATCTTACCCATCTCTTTAGCTGTCATCCCCAAGACTCAACCCCTGTGGGGTAGGCCTGATGATTTTCATCTGTGTATGCATAGTGGTACATGTACATGCAAATTTGGTATCTGAAACTCCTGAGAAAATAGTTTGATACTAATTGAAGTCAGTGTGCCACTTACTCAGATGAAAGCCCTGTGAGATTAGGCAAGGCAAGGATGGATCTGGACAGGTCCCAGGGTGTCCATGAGGTCTTTCTCTGTACCGCAGGCCGACGCTCCAACTGCTGAGCCAAACCGGCCGTGAGGTCTTCTGTCGGTTTCAGGGTTGCTTATTTTTGTTGTACTGCCCCTAGATCTGATCTCTCATTTCCTCTATATCCATCTTCACCCTGCCCCCCCATCTTTCACTCCATGCATATGCTGGCTTGGTAGGGGGTGGGTGGGGGGAGGGTGCAGCCTTGTCACTGAAATGGAGGTGATGTGCTCCTGAGATTTGTGTCTCTTTCAGAACAGTGCAATCCTGAAACTCGTCTTGTTGAGAAAAAAATAAGATCAGCTGTTACTGCAAAAACTATAAAGCCTGTGGAAAACAAAGGTGGGTTAGTTGATTTCAAACAAACCTGGAAAGGGGTTTTAAATAGAGACTTGGGCTGGAGCAGGGAGTCAAGGACCATGTCTTCATTAGGGAGAAGCAGCTTCCTTAGCCCAGAGCACCAGCATGTTGGGGTCACATGTCATCACACGTGATACATAGCAGCCTGAAGGCATTGTTCAGGACAAGAAAAATAGGAGCAGGTGGTAGAAGGGGAAAGGCCATAGGTGTGGTTTGGGGGTGAGGGAGCCTTCTGTAGTCATGGCTTCAGTCTCCCTCCATGGGCCTGGCTGGGGCTGTCAGTTCACCTGAGCTGGGCCTAGGTAGTAGGCTGCCTTTGGCCTAGGTCACCTTGCTGCTGCTGGGGGCTCTGCACAGTGGTACTGGAATGTCATTCCAGCCAGCCAGCCTTTAATACCTCCTGGGTGTCACGCCAGGCTCTGAAAGCAGCCCCTCCTGGTGCCACCAAAGGCCTATTGAACATTCACAGCAAGGAGATGGCCCATTTCTGCCCTTGGAGAAACTTCCTTATTGGGTTCAGGCGATGACAGCAATTTCTGCCCATGAGGGGATTCATGTTAGGCTTTTATGGAGCACACCTAGTTTATTGGTCTATCATGAAGCCATGGTGAGGAGAGGTAGAGTGATAAGAACTGGAAAATCAGCCTCCAAGCATAACGACCATAGGGAAACATGTAAACTACATGTATGAACACTAGGATGCATTTGTTAAAGTCACCAATTTTTCTTTTTCCCCTTTCCTTCCCTTTCCTAAAAGAGTGTTAGTAGTCATAAATTTCAGAGAAGAGGTTTTGTCTATACCTACTTGCATACCTGTTATTGTCACGTGTGTGTGTATACTTTTTTTTTAAATTAATTTGTTTTTGTTACGGATGTTTCTCTTTTTCCCCCCATTGACACCTTCCTCCCGATCCTGCCCTGCATGTACATTTTTTTTACTTGGGTTTTTTTTGTTTTGTTTTGTTTTTAAATCCTCACCTCAGGATATTTTTCCATTTATCTTCAGACAGAGTGGAAGGGAGAGAAAGACACGGGGTGGGGGGAGACATCGATGTGAGAGAGACACATCAATTGGTTGCCTCCCGCAAGACCTGACCAGGGCTGGGGATGAACCATAACTAAGGTACGTATCCTTGACCGGAATCGAACCCATGACTCATTGGTCCACAGGCTGATGCTCTAACTGCTGAGCCAGACCTGCTAGGGACATTTTTTAACCTTTTGGAATAGTTGTTAAAATGTGGCCATCGGGTTTGCTTTAGAGTCATAAGTAGTTGATTGTGTTGTATGTTCCTTAGATGATGATGACAACTCTATAGCTGATTTTCTCAATAGTGATGAGGAAGAGGACAGAGTTTCTTTGCAGAATTTAAAGAATTTAGGTAAGTCTGTGCTGTGCTTATTTATTCTTTTTTTTTAAATTTTTTTAATCCTCACCTGAGGACATTTTTGCATTTATGTTCAGATAGAGTGGGAAGGAGAGAGAAGGGAAGAGAGAGAAACATCAATGTGAGAGAGACACATGGACTGGTTGGCACCCACACGACCCCAACCAGGACTGGGGACAAACTGCAACTGAGGTACATGCCCTTATTGGGAACTGAACCTGGGACTCTCTGGTCCACAGGCCAACACTCTAACTGCTGGGCTGAACTGGCCAGGGTGTGATTTTATTTTTATTTTTTATTAAAAATTTTTTTTTCTTTATTGATTTTTTTTAGAGATAGAAAAACATTGATGAGAGAGAACATTGATTGGCTGCCTCCTGCATGCCCCCACTAGGAATTGGGCCCACAACCTGGGCATGTGTCCTGACTGGGAATTGAACCAGCACCCTCTTGGTGCATGGGTTGATGCTCAACCACTGACAAACACCAGCCAGGCTGATTTTATTTTTATTTATTTATTTTGAGAGAGAGAGAAATATCGATTTGTTTTTTCACTTATTTATGCATTCATTGGTTGCTTCTTATATGTGCCCTGACCGGGGGGTCAAACTCAAAACCTTGGTATATTGGGATGACACTCTAACCAACTAAGCTACCTGGCCAGGGCCAGAATGTGATTTTTTTTTTTTTTTTTTGGTACGTGCCCCTAGCGGGAACCGAACCTGGGACTCTCTGGTCCGCAGGCCAACGCTCCAACCACTGGCCAAACTGGCCAGGGCCAGAATGTGATTTTTAAAGTTATTAAATGCTTTAGCATGGCATGCAGAGCCCTTCATCCAGCCACATGGTTCTTTAAATAACATGGGGCTTCCACACCTCCCAGCCTGTCTCCAAGACTGTCTCCCTTGTCCTGGAGTCATACTGGCTTTGTGGGTTGGCAGAATTCTGTTCCTCCTTCAAGGCTTTGTTCAAGTGTCCTCGGTTAAACTTTTCTTGACCTAATTCTGTCAGAATTAGACACTTTTTCATCTTCCCATGCTACCATTCACTGGATTTTATGGTAAATTGTCTCACACCAGTCCGTAGGGGAAGAACCTGCATTTATTCCCATGTTCCTTGTACTCCATTTACAGTCCAGCCATTAATGCAGACTGGGTAATCCCAGGACTTGATGTTTTTAGAGGGAGGCGGGTGTTAATAATGCACAGTGTTTTTGTAGGACTGCTCATTCAGTCCGGATAGCAGTTCTGTTACCTATAGAATGGGCCAGGGTAGTTCCTACAGGTGGGTGTTATTTCCATTCCCGTTACACAGAGTCAGCCTGACAGGTGGTGCTGAGTTAGACTGAGGTTGGAGCTGAGCTGGGGATAGGTGTGAACAGTTCTCTAATCTATAAAGCACCTGACTGATGTTAGTTCATTGCTATAGATCCTGCTTCCTCCTGGATCAAGTGCTTGCTTAAGCATCATTCAGAGTATGCGGTGTAACTGTCCTTGCCAACAAGCTAGTGCTGTTCTCTGTATTAGTGGTGGTGAAGTATTTTTTTCTTAGCTGAAGTGGCATAAAGTTCAAGTATTTACAAAGATACCCAAACAGCAATCTGATAGTCTGTAACTTGGAAATCATTTGATATGCTGATCTCACCTTGTTTATGTAAAGCATTGAGGTTAATCTGTGGGTTTAAAGGTTAAGGGGATGCAATATTTATTTAATATTTGAAGCATTTAGCCATCAGCCATCTTCACCTGTTCCCATTTCAACTCAGATCGGCTTTCCTTCCTTTATTTTTCAGGGGAGTCTGCAGCATTAAGAAGCTTACTGCTCAATCCACACCTTAGACAGTTGATGGTCAGCCTGGATCAGGGAGACGACAAGGCCAAGCTCATGAGAGCCTGCATGCAGGAGCCCTTGTTTGTGGAGTTTGCGGACTGCTGTTTAAGGATCGTGGAACCATCCCAGAGTGAGGATTCTTAACACATTGTTGACTGGCAATTTTACGAAGAAGTTATCTCATGTCATGGGCTAGTTTTTTGTAACTGAGTATGAAAGTGAAACAGTCTAAATAAACTCCAGTATACTTTATTTATACATAATGAATTTAAGTGAAACTTTGTACATATCTGCTACATTATTATATTTTATACATATTATATATTTTAGTATTTTTTGGTGTGGTATACTGTATAGCAATTACCTACGTGTAGTGGTACGCAACATGATTTGCAAATATATCTGGTTTCCCTGTGCTTTCCTTTTTTTTAACCTCACCTGAGGACATTTGTGCATTTATCTTCAGATAGAGCAGGAGGGAGAGAGGGGAGGAAGAGAGAGAAACATCCACATGAAGGAGACACATCGAGTGGTCGCCACTCACACGACCCCAGCCGGGGCCAGGGACAAATTGTAACCAAGGTACATGCCCCTAGCGGGAACCGAACCCAGGACTCTCTGGTCTGTGGGCCTACACTCTAACCACTGAGCCAAACTGGCCAGGGCTGCCCTTTTCTTTTAAAACACACACTTTACACATTCTAGTTGGACTTATTTTATACCAGTGACTATTTTTTCTAAAACATGGTCTTTCAGTTGCCCTGAAAGCCTAAAAGGGGAGTCAGTGTCAGGAGCTCTTGTAGAAGGACCAGAAGAAGCATTAGGTTCTGAGCTGCAGTCACTTGAACCAGCAGATATCCGTTCCCTAGCGACTTCGAGGAGAAATTTTTTGTGTCTTATTTTGTGTATTTGTAATAACAGTAAATTTTGAATGCATTGAATAAAGTGCAGTTGATCAGAAAGAATGCTACTTTTTTAGATCACTTTATACTTTTTTGAAAGATACTGCTGTTCGCCAAATATTAGTCTGCTCTATCGACTCCTTTCATGTATTTGTTGTAGTCTCATATGCACAGGTTTAACTATATCTTCTGTAGAATTTCTTTTTCACTTTCCAGTTTTTGTAGAGGCATTGTGGATAGTTGATTTCATATTCATTAGTCTTATCTTTCCATGATATAAGGACAATGGGTCCTTTCCGTAAAAATGCCATTACCCCTCTCTGAAGATTCTCTGACTTTTCTTTTAGTACCTTTGGCAAGCCACAGTTTTCTCTTATGGTACCACAGATTAACGTTTTCTCTTCTAATAATATTTCAGCTGTAGAAATGCTGTTGTAGTAATTATCTTGGTATGCACGATGCCAAGAATCAAGATATTGCTCTAAGACAGATAATAGAGCCTTCACCCAAATAAATCTCGAAGTTGCAAATGTATCCACTCTCACTTTCACAAAGTTTTCTCACTAAAATCCCTTATTTTATTATTTTTGCTGGATTATATGTTCTGAAGCTGATACATTCTCTATATGGTATCATTGCTTCATCTAGGGATAACTCTTGCTTAGGTACATACAAAGACTGAAATTCTGGAAGAAAGTAATCCAAAAGAGGCCTAATTTTATACAGTCCGTCTTCAGGTATTTTGTGAATTATCACTAAGATGAAAAAATGTAAGAATTTGCTCAAACCTTATTGTGCTCATAGTTTTAGGAAATACTAGAGCTTCAACCAAAGGGTCCGTTGACCAGTAATCCCTCCAATGTGATTTTTTTTGTTTGTCCCATCAATATCAACAAACTGAGAAACTTCTTTAATTGGTATTGGTAACTTTTGTCCATGGTACAGTTTTTGTAGATTTTTTTGAAAATTGTTTCATTTGGTGGTGGTATAAACAACTAAATAAAAAAATCATCACTAAAAAGTCCGTCACTTCCCTGATGCTCTGTGGATCACTAAGGGCAGTGGTTACACCCAGAATATCTGAATAATCCTCCAAAGTTGGTGTAATATCATTTTCAATTCACTCTTCTTCAAAATCATTTTCACTATCAGATATTACATTTCTTTTTTGTCGTTTTGGTGGTCTAATATCAGACTCTTTACCGTCTTTCAATAAATTATCAATTTCTGCATTACTACAATATATTTCAAAATCACTTGGACAATCAGATAAAGTGTCTGCATATAATTCATTAAAAAGTTCTTCACCTTCACGATCAATTATGGTTGAAACTTTTGTAATACTATTAATTGTGATAAAAACCTAAATATCAAGAAAAGTCACGTTTTTAATAATAAACTGAACACGATTGAACACGAACAGGATCTTACAATATCCTTGATATATATGTTCAAACTGTGAGCGGTTAGGAGATAGTCCAAGTTTAGATGGCTTGACACTGAAATTGTTTACCGAACCTCTGATTTGTGGTCTCGCCCAGAGAAGTGGAAAGAAAAGGAGTCCACGTGAGGCTATGGAACGGTGTGCTGTTTTTTGAACTTCGATACTCAAGGCAAAGAATCACAAATACAATAATCTTACATTACCCTGAGTTTCAAAAATTGAAATAGCTAATGCAAGTGTAAACACCAGTCACCTCGTGAGCAGTCAGCAAGGTTCGGGCGTGAAAACACCAGTCACTTCGTGAGCGATTAGCAAGGTTCGGGCATGAAAACACAGGTTAACTTGTGAGCGGTCAGCAAGGTTCAGGTGTGAAAACACGAGTCACCTCGTGAGCGGTCAGCAAGGTTCGGGCGTGAAAACAGGTTAACTCGTGAGCGGTCAGCAAGGTTCGGGGCCTTGAAAAACAGGTTAACTCACGTAGCGGGTCAGCAAGGTTTCAAGAGCGTGAAAACACAGGTTAACTCGTGGACGGTCAAGCAAAGGTTCGGGCATGAAAACCAGGTTACTCGTGAAGCGGTCAGGCAAGGTTCGGGTCGTTGAAAACAGGTTAACCTCGTGAGTGGTCAGCAAGGGTTCAGCGTGAAAACACAGGTTAACTCGTGAGGAAACCCGCCAAGGTAAACAGGTTAACTCGTGAGTGGTCAGCAAGGTTCAGGCGTGAAAACACAGGTTAACTCGTGAGCGGTCAGCAAGGTTCGGGCATGAAAACAGGTTAACTCGTGAGCGGTCAGCAAGGTTCGGGCGTGAAAACAGGTTAACTTGTGAGCGGTCAGCAAGGTTCAGGTGTGAAAACAGGTTAACTCGTGAGCGGTCAGCAAGGTTCGGGCATGAAAATGTAATAACTCCATTCTGACCCTCAGTTACTGCACGTACACACCCTGGCAGTTACTCTTTTGTAAACATAAGGGCCTTAAGACACCCACAGAAAACTATAAAGATAAGGGGTTAATGAAGGCCTTGGGAAACTCGAAGGAATCATGAAAAGAAAGAGATTGATGGTTGCCCTGACCTCTAACAGCTCCTCTCGTCCCCCTTCTATTAGTCCCCCCCTTATCGGTGCCAAAAACGGCACCAAGAGAATATAGTTTTTTCCCCCTGTAGTTTGTGACTTTAAACGTGGGCAACAAAGAAGGCTCGCTGCTGAGGATTCGGGGAAGCAGTACCCCCCAGCCCGCCAGTGTAATGAAGTGCTCCTTCACAAGTCAGCTGTGCGTCTCTAGTTATCTCGCCGACATGTTACAACAAAAACACCAGTTATGCCCTGGCCTGTTTGGCTCAGCGGTTAGAGCGTCGGCCTGCGGTCCAGAGAGTCCCGGGTTCGGTTCCCGCTAAGGGCACGTACCTCGGTTGCAGTTTGTCCCCGGCCCTGGTTGGGTCGTGCGGGTGGCAGCCACTCGATGTGTCCCTTTCACGTCAATGTTTCTCTCTCTCTCTCTTCCCCTCTCTCCCTCTCCCTCTTTCTGAACAAAAAATGGAAAAAAATGTCCTCGGGTGAGGGTAAAAAATCAAACAAACAGCAACAAAAAAAACAAGTTACCTCGTGAGCGGTCAGCAAGGTTCGGGCATGAAAATGTAATAATTCCATTCTGACCCTCAGTTACTGCACGTACACACCCTGGCAGTTACTTTTTTGTAAACATAAGCGCCTTGAGAAACCCAAAGAAAACTACAAAGATAAGGGGTTAATGAAGGCCTTGGGAAACTCGGAGGAATCATGCAAAGAGATTGATGGTTGCCCTGACCTCTAACAGCTCCTCTCGTCCCCCTTCTATTAGTTCCCCCTTATCGGTGCCAAGAGAATATAGTTTTTTTCTTGTAGTTTGTGCCTTTAAATGTGGGCAATAAAGAAGGCTCGCTGCTGAGGATGTGGAAAAGCTGTACCCCCAGCCCGCCGGTGTGATGAAGTGCTCCTTCACACTTCGGCTGTGTGTCTCTGGTCATCTCGCTGACACGTTACAACAATTGGAGGCCCCAGCGAGATCCCTGGTGCTTTAGGACACCGGGGGACAGATGCCTAGGGCGAGCGGCCTCTCTCGGTCCGGCCACCGGATACCTGGAGTTCTTTATGGGGGTACCCCCGAGATGTTCCAGGGCCCCAAAGATCTTAGGTTTCTGATGAGCAGCCGGGTGATGCCAAGACGTCCTCAAAAGATTTAAGGAGACTTGGTAAAAAGCCTCTGGAGGTAGGTCCTGGGTGACCAGTCTTTCTGGGTGAGAGAAGGTCGGACGCCGTGAAGCCGTTCCTCTCCTGGGAATCCCCCTAAGACTTAGGTGGGGTTCATTCTAATCCCACGGGATAAGGAATTTTTCTTGACCACTGGGGCGGAGGGGGAGTCTTATCACCCTTGGGAACTTCTGGTGTGTGAACGTGACTATGGGAATGTAATTGTGTGTGAGTGACCGTGCTCCACGATGCTTGTTACGGAGCCTGTGTGCGTCCTAACCTGCAGTTCTGCGACTACCTCACAAGGCTAAAAGGCAGTATCAGGTTCTTGGGGCACTCTGGTGTCTCACCAGCAAACCTGATCTGAGTTGGGGGCTTTTTCCAACCTGCCACATGCCAAGAGGTGTCTGAAATCTCCACGAGGGGAGCAGCCAGGCGGACGAAGTGAAAGTTTGTCTTGTGTGTCTTCCCTTGTTTTTGTCCTCGACTGCTTCCCTACTGTGTCTCCCTCAACTTTGTTGTGGTTAGTCTAATCATGGATGGCAGCCCTGTGCCCAGAAGACCTTTCTGGGTTGCATAGTAAACATTCTTAGAGAAGGATTTGAGGAAAGTTCTGATTAGGGCACAAATATATCTAAGGGAAAGTTAAGGAGCTTCTGTGAATTAAATTGACCCACATTCAGGGTGGGCTGGCCTGACACGGGAT